GAAATGTGGCACAGATGATCATAACGAGGGACCAAGGAAAAATGCTACAGAGCAGAAAACTATCGTTGATGTGGAAATAAGTTCTTATGAGTAAATGTTTGTTTTAAGTCAGTACTCATAAGTCAGTATTCCAATGCTAGTAAATTACACTAAGAAACAAGTGAGGTAACAGCGAGTCTTTGTACGATGAAAGGAGAAATAAGTAGTGTGGTAATATATCACATTAAGAGGGACTGCTGTGGAACACAGAATACAGTGCAAATCAGTTCTTTAATAAAGAGATATTATATATTTTATCCAGACAAATTAGCTGACACACTCGTAAGAAATACCAGAATTGCATCAAAGATCAGAGAAGCAGTCCACTGGGTACAGAATACTGTCTCCAAAAGTTTTTGGAACAGCTGCATCTACCAAGTTTAGATACTCTGGAGGAGTAAATAAACAATTTGACCACAACGAAGTTCATTTCTGCCTTCATTAGTTAAGGGCTGAATTATACCCTGCAGCACAAGATTTTATATATCTTCCAAAGTTGGTTATATTTCTAATGCACCACATGCCCACATAAAACAGAAAAGAAAACAAGTTATTCCTTTAAAATATCTTATGGTATACAACCTCTTTTTTTCTCTCTTTTCCCCAGTGAAAGTTGTCCTAGATTTTTATCCTTCCTACCTGTAAATTAATACATGCCTGCCAATGCTTTCATAGCCAGGCAGCCCAGGAAATCGCAGTGCAGGAGGAGTCTGGGTGAAGAGATTTACTCTCAAATACAATGCCCTAGCTGAAACAAAGGTAAAAGATAAACAAGCACATCAAGACAGACATCTGTATTTCCTTTTCCACCTTCCTCACTCCTAGCCCCTTAGTTTAAGAGTCTTTCTCAGTACTGAGTTGCAGCCACTATGAAAGTTGGTGAAAATATTTAAGACAAGAGTTCCAACAACATGTCAATGGCTCTCATTTCTACTTGCTCCTCATTAGTACTACTGTCAAATAACAGCCAGTGCTTGACAAAAATCAGCTCATGGAATATGCTAGCCGATGCCAAACCAGAGCAGTTGGATGGAAACACTTTGAAGAGGTGCACCATCATCACAGATTTATTTTTACATATCGTGCCTGCTGAACTGTCACATAACTGAACACACAAGCAATGTTTTCTGCTACCTCCAGGTGGTTAGGAGACTCCAGGCCCAGCCTGACAGAAAATGATTTGGCTTTAGTAATACACATGATCATCACATTACACAGACATGAAGTAATCAGCCTGAAGAAAACTAACTAGTATAGGATGTGGCAGCACAGATCCTCAAGCAGAAACACATTAGCTCCTCAGTTTACTGTCTACAACCAGTCAAATATACTATCCCTGCCCTTATTGTCAAGGTTTTCAGTGATCTCCACCCAGGAAACAATTCTCATAAGATCTAAAAATTTCCTCAAACATCACTTATTTTTTTTTGCTTAAAAAAAAAGCAGAGCCTGTTCTTTCACCTAACTATCCATATGGAAATACATACAGCACAAGGAACAGAAAATGCATGCTTTCATGCTCCACAGGAAGTTGCATCAACTCACTTATCTGAAGAAAAATCTTTGGCTGCATGAGGCTGACCCAATTAGATGGACAGCGAGGGTAAGAGGCTGGAGCCAGAGGGCAGGACTGCTCCTCCTGCTGGAATTGCAATCGTTAGCCGCTTTTTCCACACCCACCAGAACTAATTTAATGGCAAAATGCGAAACATGTTGCCAAACAACACTCCTTGTTTCCTCTGCTCTTCTCTCTCACTGCTCCCCTAGTTTTCTCCATTTCTTCTGTATTTTCCTCCTAGTTTTCAGCCAGAAAGTCTTCCTCCGATGCAGTAGTTCTGATAATTGTCAGATGTTTTTATGAGCCAAATGCAATCATTTGCAGTCTAAATCACCTATTTTTACTAGTTAGAGTACCCTGCAAATAGTACTGTGAGGATATTTACTTCTGAAATCTTATCTACCGGTTCTAAAATATTCATGAGGAATATGAACATATGAAACACAGTCACAGAAAAAATAACATGTATAGACAGGAGCCACATACTTTTTCACTAATTATTCAACATGATGGTATGGCAAAATCAGTCCTGCATTTATCTGCTGCAATGTGCATCATTAACTTAAGAATGTTGGGACAGAATTATTTATTAAATTCTAGACACACTGAGTAGTGCCATCATGCCTCTTGCAGTTTATTCTGCTTCATCCCTAAGTAAGTGCCCTGAAATGCTTAATTTATAGACCCCCAAAAATAAGTCAACAGAGATTCTTTTACATGATGTCATGCATTCATTCCTATTGTTCATGAACACTGGATTACTAAAGAATTGTTTATTTGGTAACATAAAATGATGAAGATGTAAGGAGTACATTATTTAAGTATAGTACAGATTATGAGTACTGAAAATATGACATTAAAAAGATCAAGGTCAGATAAATCTAGATGTATGTTAAAGATGAAATATGTACAAGGCAAACAGAAAGATTCAATAAATGGTTTAATTTACACCTCTCAAAAATTGTAAGTGGATTTGAAGGAGAAACAGAGCAAAGGAAGTTGAAAAGCAAGCAGATAAAAATATTAGACATATGTAGCAGAAATAAGAAAAAAAATGCTTAGGAGATAGACTTATGTTTATGGGCCTCATAAGATTTTTGAAGTTATCTACACTATTATACTAGGAAGGATAGATAACCTGTCTGAATGTTGAAAAGAAACTATTTTTAGGACAAATTTTAGACCCAATTTCTGAGAAAACATTTTATTTATTTATTTCTTATGCTTTCTGGTATCTGCTGGCTCAAAATGATCAGGTCAATAATGACCAAAAACATTAATATTTGAAGACTTTTCAACACAAACTGACAAATCGCTGGCATTTGCTCTTTGCTCAGAATTTTTTGCTCATAAATCCCATTATAACAATATTACCACCCATAAGAACATTTCTACCATGAATCCAGAATTTGTATAATGCACTGAGAGCACAAGAGCCCACCACCCATGATGGTGGATCATTTATATCAAAATGGGGGACCCTTTGACGTTCATCACAAACATCACAAAAGCTATTAATAACACAAACTTGCTGATTTATGATAAAATGTAAGTCTCTAGTGCTGATCTACTGGCATCATTCAGAAGCATTATCTATTCTAGTCTCACTGGGAGCACCTAGTCTTTCCGTATTTTCAAAGGAAAAAAAAGTGAGGAAACTGCTCCTGTTTCTTGTTAAAAATGGACTAGTCAGTGCCAAACAAGGGACTAAAAAAAGAGTAACACAGAAGTATAATATAAAGGACAAAAAAAACCCCAACACTAGACAGAAGAAAGGATAGGAAAGTACAGTAGGAAAGAACTAGGTATGGCAAAGAAGTTAATATTTTAATGACAGATACATGTAAAGAAAAGAGTAAGAACCATTTCATTCTATTTTCTTCTTCATGACAGAATAGGAAGCCGTAGAGTTCACTACAAACAACAGAAATCAGAAGTAACAATCTGATAATTTTACTTCTACTTGCTTCTTAGTAGGAGACACTTTTACACACGTACACACACACCTCAGCAAGACAGGTACATGCAATTTTTTTTTAAATTTAGAGTATATATTTTGACATATAATTCTCCCCAAATTCAGTTAGAATACCCAAGTATCTCAAGTGTGAGAGCTATATCTCAAGGGCTATAGAATTAATTGCCAAATTTTAGAATTCTTTGCTCCAAGCCTATCTATTGTAGTAGGCTACTCAGTAAATAATAAAAACATTTTCCAACTGATATTTAAGCAAGTAAAATCCTTAAAATATCTGTTGAAGTCTGGCAGACTCTTATCAAAGGAATTCAAGAACTGTTTGATTTATACACCAAAGTTTTGACAATATAACAATATGGGGAAAAATCAAAACAATTCTTGATTAGTAGCATTTATCTAGCTTTAAATATTGTCCAATAATTATTGTTTCCTATCCCCGGTAAAAAGACAAAAAACAAAAGACCAAAAAAGACCCACAGTAGCATAAGATATTTTTCCATTCTTGATCTCTTGGAAAAGCAGGAGAATCAGCACCACTACCAGAAACCTCCAATTAGGAAAGTTGCTATAAATTTTGCAGATGTTTCAAGTCAAAGGAACCATTTTGAACTCCACCAGTAACAGGTCTGAGTCTCGATCCCTAGTGTTTTATTTCATTTTTTCTGGTTTTAAGCCAAAGGGTAACTTTCTGATAACAGCTCTACTAGTCTAGCAAACCGTTCATAAGCTTGCTAATAACTGCCTTTGCTGGTAACCAGCACTAAGAAGCTTGGGAATGTTATTCAGATCAGAATCATATTAATGATTCAGCGTTATTTAATTCAGATCATATTAAAAGAGTTATTATGGAACATCAACTGTATTGGGAAAAAAAAAAGTAGATTAAAAAGCAAAAGTCACAAACAGGACAAAAATAAGTCTTAAGAACACAAAAGTAACTATACTTAATCAGACCACAGGCCTATTTAGTCCAGTATCCTATCTTTGTCAATGGCTAAGTCTGTTTTTGAGGTACAGTATAAGTACAGAACAAAATGTTTGATATTTGAGATTCTTCCAGACTCCAAGCGTTTTCAGATTTGCCCCATGAAAGGTGAGTTAATCAATTCAAACTAAGCAACACATTTATGTTATTCCCTTCACAACATATGGCCACTAATATATTACTTTTGCAAGAACTGGTAAATACACACTTTCCTGAATTTTTTCAATGTAAATTGGCATCTCTGTAGCAAACCCCAATAATTTTCTTACAAGTTAATCATAAAAAGTGAGAAATAAAGAGATAAGAAAAAAACCCAATATTCTACTACAATATAATAAAATATAAGGAAGAAAAATATAAATTTGTAGTGTTACTGTTTTTTCTAAAAAGATAAAAAATCTAGGGTCATTACCACAGACATTTCAAAATAAATGTCTTACCTCATATGCATAGCCCAAGGAAGAAAACTGACTCCTTAAGTAGCCAAGTTTGTACACACCTACGAAGACCAAGCAGCGGATGATTTCCAAAATTCCTGCTTTGGGCCTAGAAATGGGAAGTAATTTAGATTAACATCCAATCTTTTCTTCTTTGTTAACTTCAGTGAAAAAGAGAATGTAGAAATAGTCTGTGATGTCCTGCACTTACATCAAGTCATCTTTCTTAACCTTATAGTTAAGTTTTTACAGTATACATCTTACATGGACTTATAACACTGAATTTGCTGGGGGTGAGAATACTCACGAACTATACATGAACTCACACAAATGTACATGTATATATAGCTATTGTCTTTTGATCTCAAAAAGGACAACAGCAAAATTCTGAAAACTGCTACATGAGTAGTTCAGAATCTTTTCATCGGTCTATTTCTGTTAATTCTTACTAATTCACGTTATTAACTCCCTAAGTTATACACATCTCTGGCATATTGACAGATTTTTACCTATCCTGAAATAAACTATTCAGTCCATACAAGAGAAAAGTATTCTTTTCGAAAACACAGTGAACAGCAGGTGCAAAGTGGGACTGGCACCTCAATCTCAAATGAAGCTTCTATTCCACATTTCTGTGGGCAGGGCAAAATAGTTTCTCTGTAAGAAACTGTAGCTGCTATTCATTCTTCCGTAGGGTCACGGTGCCCATATGGACTACTTCCGTAGTATATATCTCACTGGGCTGGTGTATTCAAGATCCAATTTGATTTGAATCCATACTGATTAAATTTAGTCTTAAGTCTACACCATCCTTCACATGATTTTGAGTCTACTCTGAGCTACATTGTGTGCTTTTCATAAACCATCATCATATCTGACACCTATGGCATGCTACACAGGACTGACACAATATGATTGCAGTCTGAGCTTGAACAGCCTTGGGACAGCCTGCAGGCCTCACTGGCCTGCCAGCATCCCAAAACCAGAGATGTGGACCCAACAAATGCAAGCACAGAGGGTGACATGAGTAGCCCATCCCATAACTTTTCTGCAAGGGACAATATAGATATAGCCACTAATTGGTATGGGAACACTCCTGGGTTTAGGTACTGGCTATTCATGTATTATTTTCTAGTCAACGGACAGCAACATATGTGTCCAAGTGTATCTATATTTCTTTATCAATATAATTTCTGACACACTTGAGATTTCCATATAATGATAAATAATGCATAATGAGAGAAGAAAAATAAAAGCACGTTTTGTATCTTGCCTGTTCTCCATAAGTAGTCCGAAAGAGGTCAGGGACAGAATGATAAAGCCAATTCTCAGGAAAATAGTTCCCTGTGATAATGTCTGTTAAAAAGGAGACAATTCATTTAGAGTAATTTTCTGAAGAGAAATTGAGTTCCAACAGAACAGTAGCTTCAACTTCCTCACTCAGTGATGTTAGTGTCTGCTTTTAAAGTAATTTGTTACTTTAAATTTTACAACAAAAATATCTGCTCTGGATAGCACACTTATCTGGAGTAACCACCTTCTTAGTTGTTTCCTGAATGCTGTATTTCCAAAATAATGTTTAAGATATTCCCTTCTGCACTATGTGTTTTCCTGAAGTTACTTGACTCCCTTATGCCTTTACCCAAGAGGGAGCAAACTTATTTCTAGATAAAAATCCCAGCAGCCCTGTTCTTTTTCTTCATTTTATGTTACAAGATCTTTACAATTGTCATCTATGAATCCCAATGGATACCAAAAACAATACATTGGTGAGAATAAGAATTCACATGACATGACAACATAACCATATTTAAGAATAAGCAAAATTAATGTTGTCCCTTCATGACAACTCGACACTTGGTTCCCAGTTCAGCAAAACTTTTCAACTCATACCATTAACTTCAATCAGACTTAAAACACTTTTAAACATTAACATGTGTGTTAGTACTTGGCTGAATAGCAGCATGAGGATTTATGACCTTAAAATTTACATCGAAATGATATAAACAAAACTCAGGAAAACAGAAATTATTTTCATGGTGAAGTTTGATTTTTTTTCTTTTCATTTATTAAGTATTTTTTGTATTCTACACAGCTGCCTTTGAAAATCAAATATTTAATCAGTTTTCTTGTTCCCTCCCTGACTTCCTTTCAAATATTAGTTTTGAAAAGTCTTTGTTTTTTCATTTAAAAAACAACAAAAAATCCAAAACGAAAGTAGTGATCTTGCTGAGTTATAGGAATCCTTTCTGGCTTCAATAGCAGTAAGGTTTATGAACAGCATCTTGCACTTCAAGATTGCAGGCATTAGAAAAATAAAAATCTATGAATGTCTGCCCTGATTTCAATAAATCCCACTTGGTGACATGCCCACCTTCCTTCAGTGGTGGCCCCTACTCCTCGAAGAGATCTAAGCTAAGTATCTGTGAGCGTGGGAGGCCACACGAGGATATTCTCAAGTTTTACAGCTGTGTGAACTTACAGTGCCCATGTTTGCAAAACACATCAAACCACACACTCAGGCTGGGTAGGTTTCTGTTGTTTTACTGAAGAATCACAAGCACCTACTTAGATATCCTTAACAAACAGTTACTGAACAAAGAAAACACAATCCCAGCAATGAGCGAGCTGAACAGCAGCCTCACCAGTTTACAAGCCAGAACACACTTCTCGCAAATGACACCTGTCAAGCCACTCTGTTGCACAGATTTATACCAGGATAGATCAAACTCATTACTGCATTGCTACGTTTCCAATCTGTTCCATCCCTCCTTACGATAAACTTACAAAACCTCGGACTGATGACTACCACCATCATCTACTTGTATATACTTATCCTTGAGAAAGGATATGCTTTACACTTTTCTTACGCTCTTACCCTGTGCATCTGCTATCGGCCACCACAGGAGACAGGATATTGAGCTAGATATTGAACCCGGGGAGGGACTCAGTATAGGAGTTATGTGTTGAGACTCTTGCTTAAGTCAAGAAAGCAAAAAAGGCTCTAATGGGCTTATAATCCTTTATCAAGGTTTGTATCACTTGGAATACATTTGCAAATTCCAGATACAAGTTTTAAAATTTGTCAATAGAAGATCAAATTGAGGGCGCTCTTTTTGAAAAATTCAGTTTCTAGAATGCGAAAATCCAACAGCTATCCTAAGTTTAAAAGGCTTTCCATTGTTAACATGAAGCTATTTATTTTGAAGTGACAAAATTTTTGGACAGAAAAATCAGGCACAGACTCTATTTAAGTTTAATAAAATGAGTAGTTCTTAAACTGCTCATCTAGTCACAGTAAGTTCAACTCCCACTTCAGCTTCCTGTAGAAACTGGGTCATACAAAAATTCAAGAAGTGAGCAAAGAAAAACACGATTTGGCACAGGCATAAGGGAACTCACCCATAAATTTCTTAGAAATGCTTAGATATGTTTTTCAATGATTGTTACTTGTCAAATAAAGGAGTTTGCCAAGGAACTAGGACTGGAATTCAAGACTTTCCTCCTTAGAGACTGTCCTCACTTTTAAGTTGGAGAATTACACCTTTTTTTAAACCTAGTCAGGTGGGTGTGATTTTGCTTTGTGTTTCCAGTGCAATGCACTAGCTTCTACAGGCTACCTTAAAAATGTTCCCACAGTGGTAGGGCACTATTCTGAGGAAGAAAATGTGAGGTTTTTGTATCCCCCTTAGGCAGGAAAGAGAAACGAACATCAAATCCAAATTTCAAGCAAGTCATGTAACTGCTACGTTACAATATATGGCTAAAATCACACTTTATGGAAAACAAATGAACCTGCAATGGTTTTGAGAGAACAAATGTTAATATTTGTCTTCGGGAAGGATCCAGCAGTACCTGCTATGAATGAATAAGGGTGTCTCCAATTTCCATTTTAAGAGAGCTGCATGATTTCACCCTTTTCTGTCCTCCCACTGTTTCCAAGCTGGCTAACGTTAGACAACCAGTCACCAAGTCCTAGGCACCTGGCTTTCCTTGTGATTCCAGTTTCAGAAAACTGAGGTGCTGATTCATTCTACCTTCCTTTAAGTACCTTTACCGAAGTGCCTAAAAAACTGTTATTAACCTAAGCTTTCTCTGTAATCAGTGGAGACGGAGCACTTTCCAAATGATTCTATTTCTTGCCATTAGCTAGACAGCAAGTCTATAGGCTAAATTTGGTCCTTAACACTACAAGTTGGATTTGCATGTATACAAATGCACGGCACTGTAATGTCCGAGTACGGTGTTGCAGCCTTCCACTTCCCAAGGCCTCAGCTTTCTGGAGTGATGAGGGGTGAGGCATAAAGCCTTACTGGGAACCATGAAGGTAGAAGGTGTAAGTTACCCTTCACTGTAAATACATGCACCGCATTCACATACAGGAAAAAAATGTGTTCCCTTATTTGTGCTCCTAGTCAAAGACTACCAAGAAATTTGCAGTGAAATACACCGTGATGCCATTTGGGAATAACAGCTTTTAGAAAAGCAGCCATGTAGCACAAAGTTTAGCATTATTAGTTTGCTTCCATAACTCTCTCTTTACAACTCCAGTGCTGCCTTGATTCTTTTATTTACCTTCAAACATGTACCACCCTATGAAGTGAATGCTGGCAGCTGAGGCATCCATTTTCTAGGCATTCCTCTACCAAAATCAACAAAATAGTCAGTGGGTTATATCACTAAACTAAACATCATATATTAAATCTACACACTGCAAGTTGCAGTGTGAAGAGAATGTGCCTTTTACACCTTCTTTAGTGCTAGCATCCTTGTTCCACTTAAACATAATATGCATGGATGTGTATATAAAATAAATGAGTATTTATATACTGGAGTATTTGTACAAACAGAGAAGCCTGGGGGACCACAGCAGGTTCCCCAATTACAAGTCAGCCACAACTTTGCAATGTGGTTATTGGCTGCAATGAAACAGAAAAAAATATTTCTGTTGGATTTTAATTTCATTGAAAGCTTCAAAAATATCTTGGAGCCTTAAAAAAAAAGCAGGTTTTAGAATTTTGGGAAGAAGTTTACACGGCCGTGTAATCAACAGATTGCCATAGCATTATTATTTTATATTTTGTCAGTAATGAAAAAATAATTCATTTAAACAAAGGAAATATGCCATTTTAAATGTGTATTTAGATGAAAATTGAAAGATTCCACATTGACTTTTATATTTCAAAGGACTCAGATTGTTTTATTCCTTAAGAATAACATGGATGCATTTGCTCATCCTGGTGTGTTCAGTGTTTCCACAGAACTGCTAAGACCAATGTCACCACACTTCATAATTTAACAGATGCCCTGCTGCGTATATCAGACACCTTCGACATTCAAATGAAGAATGCTACTACAACGCTATGAAATTTGTATTGTTACGTGTGTTTGTCTGTATGAATTTATTTTAACTTAGAATTCCTAAAAAAAATTGTAAATTCTTAGCAATATTCCATATACAGCACTTGGTCATGTCCTACTGAATGGGTATATTAATTGTGTTCTCAACTTTCAAGAGACCTATCTTATCACTTACTACTATCTGTCTAATTGAAACTGCTCACATATTCATAGAATTATAAGCACAGTAAATGTTACAGTATCTATCAACAATAAAAAAGACTGCAAAATTAGTTTAAGGTACACTTCACTTTGATTTATGTGATACATGCAGTTCTGGAGCTATGAGACTTTTGCTTTGAATGTACTGCAGTTTTACACTCCTAGCACTCTCTCTGGGACTGATCCAAATCCCATTTCTTCAATGAGCTTTGGATCAGATCTAGATGTGCAGAGCTCAGAAGTGATTTTTATTCTCTGGATGTAGTGCAGATCACTATATAGAAAATAAACACTGTATGCTCTCTCCTGTGGAAAATATGTATTTGTTCTTTCTTGTTTTGCTCTTTTCACAAGTTAAATGTAGGTCATTCAGACCGAAGGTATATGGTTGCTCTTTATGTATGGAGAAATTTAACACTTCTACAGGGCGTGAGACCAAACACTGAGCAACTGTAATCACTTGAGAAATGTAATAGCTGTGTGCTGTGTCTTATGGCTATTATGAAATGGAACTTATACCTAAAAATGAGGAAAACAGTTAGCTTTCCCCATTTATGGAGCTATGCCACAGTTATGACATAATTCATAGCCAGACAGAAAGTTCCAGTTGTATCCATAGACATTTCATAACTCAGTGTAGTGGAAAACTGATATTGAAGAAAGATTTTTGCCAAGTAAGGTTATTCATACACAAGCTTCCTTCTCATGACAGCTTCCCCACTGTACTGCAGAGCAATGCTGGAACTCTGCCTTGGGACCAGCACTTTCTACACCCACACTGAAGGTTTATGTCCTGAGATGAGGTGCTTCTAGTCCCCCGTGCTCTCCTTCTTATCCTTACTACCTTATTACCCTACAGTTTTGTGCAGAGAATTTTCTAGTTGTTTTTCTCCAGTAAGTTCATAAATGGTGGATCTTCAGCATGTTTCCTCCATGACTGCAAGAACTTAATGGTCGTCTGGGGCTTGGGTGCATTTTTCAACTTCCCTTATTACTTATTATTAAACAGCTGCAGTTATCAGCAGAGAAAATAATTTGGACCATCCACTTTTCCTTCCAGGACCAGAAAAAGGCAAAAAGAGAAAAGAATAAAATAGGAAAAAATTCATAAGCAGACTCCTTACTTCTTGCTGCTAAAAGCAACAGTAACAAAGTAAAAGACAAAACACCAACTAAACAAAAAACCCACAGTTTGATCCCTATACAAATATGACTTGCTGCTGGTATGTAGGAAGCTAGAAGTATATCCGGAAAGTCTTGCAGAGTTTTTTCTCAATACAAGAACATTGGCAATCATGTATACTGTGTATCTTGTATACATTGGAGGTATTTATCCTTACCTTTCGCTTAATTTCCTGTCCTCAGAAATTTCTTAGAATAGACTAAGCCTCAGATGGCTTAGTAATCTCTGAATTCCCTGTGGTTGCAATGTGACCCTTTATAGAGGTGAACACGATGTGTAGAATAATAATATTAATCAGAAGAGTACGGCTGAGGTAGCTTTTACATTGTATCAGGAATGCTACATAAAATACTTACTCTTTAAACTTTTCTCAAAAATTGCATCGTTCTACTGGTCTGATGTGCTACTCAGAACACATCTAACCAAAAAAGTAAAAAAAAACCCCGAGCTGTAGCAGCTTGTATATGCAGACCTGCCAGAGCTGCTGTAAGCCTGCTGCCACATATCCCAAGAAATTATTGCAGTCCCTCTCCTGCCATTCTTGCCCTGGGACGCAAGAGGAATGTCCGAGTTGGAAGACCAAAACTTCAACGTTTGGACAAGATTTCTGAAAGCTTTGAAATGGCTTTGCAATCCTCTGGAATCCTTCATGGATGACCACGGTCAGTTACGCAAAAGAGACTTATTTCTAGAAATCTGCCTCTTGGCTGGATTCAGACATGTTGGTCTTGGGCAAAGGCATCGGGGCACAGCGAGAGGGGCTGCTCCCTGGCGAAGGGGTGGGGGGCTGGTGGCGGGCAAAGGGGCAGGGCCATGGCCCCAGCGGGAAGAGTGCTGTCCCGCAGTGCCCATCGAGGTGGGCAGGGGACAGTAACAAATCTCAGCCATGGGCCGGAGATCGCTGGGCAAGCGTGCCAGGATGAGGTAGGTCCGCAGGCGAGCAGAGGCTGAAGAACCCAGGGAGCCCTTGGCACCCTGACAGCAGGCCTGTGGCAATGTGGGTGACACAAACACAACAACAAGACTGCTCTTTAACCAAGAAGGTCTTAGAAAGGTTTTAAGAAGAAGGCCAAATGGTGTTTTATCAAACTGATAGACTTTTGTGGTATTTTGGTAGGCCTTTGACTGATTTGTGGGAATATTAGATGCATTAAAATTATGCTTCATAACTAGAAGATTTCAGCTTTAGTAAAGTAAAAAGAGTCATCAAGGAAGGAAGAATGAAAAGGAGGTTGGAAGGTATGGAGGGTGTGAAACCATGGAAGCAGTTAATGTCTCGCTTCTTGTAGGTGGAGATGGCCTCATAGTTCACCTTCAGAAACTGCCAGGTATCCATGAAAGAACTACATCGTGTTACCAGGGAGATCCCATCAGCCCAAACGCGAGGTGGTAAATACATGCCTCTCCTTGCTGTATTTCTATCAATGCTGTTGTATGTTTGAGACTGGAAGAAGGATTTGCCCTGAGTCTGTGCTCCTCCAACTCTGAACTCATGCTGACACCAAGCTTCCCACCTGCAAGCACCAGAAGACCTTTGCAATCTTCCTTCTAAAGCTTGGGCATTATTGGCATCTAACAATATGACCAACCTTGACATCTTAAAACCTACATAGTTTCAAGTCTGAGATACATTTTTCCTTTCGTGAAGTCCTAACAACTGAAGCAGACACATACATCTTCTATGGAACAGTTATTATTTTTAATTTAATTGCTTAACTTAATATGGTTATTAAATACTGTTTAATAAACAATATAAACCAACATATATTTAATATTATATAATTATATATTTAGACATTTATTTTGTTTCTTTTTACAGAATCTAGTTATTATTATAATAGCTTAAGTAAGATATGAGTCAGGCTGTAGAGCCTCTACTCAGTGCTTTATTATTTAAATATGTTGTGTGTCATATTACTGTTAGCATAAGATGTATTTCATAAAGATAGGAATTACTTACAGTCACGGTACCCAGAAGTTCAGTATACAAGTCCATTATTACAGCAAAATGTACAACTGCATAGCAATTAAGATAAGCTGGTACACTTGGATTGAAGGGAACTTCTTTTCCGGTGATCTGTATGAAGCAAAACAGATAATAGCCTTCAACAGTGACCTGCTCCAGCCTGTTATTCCTTAGTATTCTTTATACTTACAAACACAAAAAAGATTAAGGGACATAGATAATTGCATAAAGATAATCTACTATCAAACTTATGTACTACCTAGTGTGAGACAGAGTTTAACTCTGTGTGTGTGTGTGCATACGTTCACAGCTAAAAGAAAAACAGAAATTACCGTACTCTATAGAACAATTTTGAAAATCTCTTTAGGAAATGAATAATGAAAAGATAAATAAAAAATACATTTTTTTCCTTCAAATAAAAAGAAAAAAACACAGCTAAAACATTCATTTCCTTCAATTTCTGTTCCCATTTCATCTTCCCCTATGCTTTATGACTGCTAATTTGCTAATTTAAAATAGCATGTGTAGAGTTTTTAACATTGATCCAGTAGCATTAAGAGGTCCAAGTAAATTACACAAAACTGAAAGCCTGTGCATGTTCTATTTACCACTGGGATTTCCTCAGGAAGGCCAAGTCTAGGTTTGCCTGGTCCCCAGCCTGGCCCTTTGAATATGACAGAAAGCTTGTCGCAGAATCCAGGTGTGGCCCAAAACGTGTTCCAAATATGAGCCAAGGGACGTAACTGAAAAAAAGAGCAAGTAATTTTTCATTGTTAGTAAAATAAAATTTAATAAAACATTATATTTTATTCATTTTTAGCTCTCAAGTAAATGATTTTTCAAAGTCTAAAAAGAATAAATTAGGAATAGATGAAGACAGTCAGAAGTTCAGAAAACCTGACTGAAATAGGCAGGAGCCATATTAAGCCTTTGGTTTACAGTGAGGATTACAATGACTTCTGCCCAGAGAAAAATCTCTCTCTCCTGTAATCAATCCAGAGTATTTAATGGTATATTGTATAGCTATATTTATGGTAGTTTTAAACTAGAATTTGGTTACTGGGACCTTGACATGACATACTCTCAGTAACTACATTACTTAGTCTCTGCCTGGAATGGATATAATTGCACAGGCTGTGGCCATCCTTCCACCTTCCAGCCCAGACACCCCTGCAGGTAGAATTTCTCATTCTTTGAGATGCCTCCTTGGGTGAACAGTCATGAAAAGCAAACAGGGACTTCAATACTCCTCAGTCTCTAAGGTTTTTACAGAGAATTTTTATCCAGTTTAAGTGAAGCCTGGACCAATAAATCTAAGCAGCACCACACTAAGTACTTTTTCTTCTCTTTCCTTTTCTTTCCTTTTTTTTCCTTTTCTCTTCTTTCCTTTTCTCTTCCTTTCTCTTCTTTTCTCCTCTTTCCTTTTTCCAAAAAAAACTATATTCAACCTGTTTTGCAGGTTTTGTCGAGACCATGACGGCTGCTATATAATGCTGTCAATACAAATCATTCTGGAGTACCTCGAACAGCAAATATGCAGAATAGATAAAAAAAGTAAAGATATTACACCATAGGGTTATTGATGAAATAGCAATATTTTGAGAAGACAAACAACAGATGAAATATATATTTTTGTCTGTGCTTCGCTGCATATTGCTCTGCATATGGCAAAATGGACATCATTCAGTCCAAGGCCTGTTATATATCCATTGTAATTAGTTGTTAATTTTATTGTATTGTATTTTCGTGATGACTACAAGCTCTGCATATGCTCAGTGCAGTGAGTAGAAATAATTGTTTTGTAATGAAATACTGAAGAAATTGTAGATAACTTAATTCAGTGTGCAGTAGTGCAAGGATGGCCCCAACTTTTCCTAAGAGAGGAGTTTCTTTTGAACATGAGTGCCTGTTGAAGATACCAGAGTCAGTGACACAAACTATAGCACCTGGAGCATGATGGGATCAAATGAATTTACTGGATGTGTTAAGCCATATACAACTTTTGCATCTTCTGCCTCAAATGTTCCTGGTGGAAGAAGGAAAAAAAAGAACAACCAACAATCAAACTCAAAAGTATACATATTTTTGCCACACTAACTAAACGTGAGCGAGAACACCTTTTTTTTACTTACCAAATATCCTGTCCCAGATAATGAATGTGCCACCATAATTTTTGTCAATGCAGTAAGGATTTCTACCTATAATAAAAATAATTTATGAGAACAGTAATTGCATATATAATAATACATGCAACTGAATTATGAAGGGATATCTTCATCATTAGCAACAATTTATAATCTAAAAATAATTTTAAAAGGTAGCTAATGCACCACTCCTTATACATCTATAAAATTTCTTTTTTCTTACTAGGCTTATTGCTCTCTTTCTACTCAGATTCAAACATACAAATCAAATGTGTCATACCCAAAATTTCTGTGAAATAAAAGGACTGATCTGGAGAGTAAACTCAGTTCAAAATATATTTATAAAGACAAATTAAAAAGCAAACAAAAAATAATTTCACCAGTTTATACCTAAGAAAATATATGCTAAATACGTTTATGCGCAATCACCTCATTAATGGCTTTCAGCTGTCTCTATCTTCTATGCCATATGTCTGATCCTGCCTTCATTATTATTAACTTCAGTGTGAGGAAAACTGATCCTTCTATCTGTTTTCTAGGGAATGTATTTGTATATAGCTGTCCTACCAAAAGTATGAGCAAAGTAACGTTGATTACATATCCCCAAGGTTGTGGAGACTGTCTGGAGCGACTGTACAACACCTGATCAGCTCCAGAGTGATTCTGCTTAACTCCGATCAGGATCAGAGGATTAGTTTGGATTTACAGCAAAGCAAATAAGAGCAGAGTGTCTCCCTCCAGGATTACCAGTACTTGTGCAAATTTCAAGGATTAGACACTTACAGCACCACAGTCTTTTTAAAAAGTCTACACAGTGCCATAAACACTTTACACAGGGAGGATATAATAAATATTAATAACATCCTCTGTACATATAACTGCATTTGAGTCTGTTTCAAATTATTTTGTTCTTCTGTTCCCCTATTACTTTTTTACTTGTTATCTCTGCACACTGAATGAGCCAAGGGCATCTACGAAATCCATTTCTATTCTTCAGATATGCTCATGACATTTTTCAGTATGCAGTGGAGTTATTAATCCAATTTACATATGGAGTACGGTCTTGAATGCCTCTGAATATTGATGAAAAGTCAATCATCATGCACTTGTGTGAAGTGAGATTTTTCAATAATTCAGACAGCTGAAACCAAATTCCACTAAAACATTTAACAGTTCTTCTTCTAAAAGGTAGCCATGTCTTTTTGCACATTCAGTGCTTGAATTTGAATGCAAAAGCATCCGTTAGTGATTGACAAGTTGATGATGTTTTAGTAGTCAGGGAAGGAAGAGATCTTTTTTCTATCACTCTTCATATTTACAAAAGTTTAATTGTTTTGCTCAAAGTCTTCCAATTATTTCACGTTATCCAGGTTTAATTTCTGCTCAATAATTAATCCTAAATGTAAAAATTCTGAAATTAAATTTGTTATAAAAAAGTTTTTTAAAAAACTGTGACATTTCTAACTGAACAAGGACTATTTTTGAAGCAATGATCAAAATTAAAATCCTTCTGTAAAACTAACTTTACAGCACAATTTTAGTACTTTATTATTATTATACAAATAGTAACCATGAGAAAAAACATACTGAGGAATAAAAGGTTACACTTTTAGCTTACCATGATGAACTCTGTGATGACTGGGAGTATTGAGGATCCACTCCAGAGGCCCAAGGTTGGTGATGACCTTAAAAAAGTAATGTTTCAATTAATATGAAAATACTATATAAAATCAAAAAGGAGGGAAAAGGGGGAGGAAATGCATAAAGAGGATGCTTATCTTAAGGAGAATTGCATAAAAAGACAAGAATGCAATTTTTTTGCCTGAACCATTATTTCACTGTATTACTGTTACAGGAATTTTCATGAAAAAAGTGAAATTTAGTAAAATGCAAGTTAAAAATCAAATTTCTTTTTGATCCAGCAGCACATTTTCCTCTTATTTTTATTATCAGTTCATGATTCCATACAGATCATTTCACTCACATTTTTTACCCATATCCGTTGGCACTGCTTGGGATCCACTGTAACTCCAAGATCCCAGTTATGTGAACACTTTAAATCAGCAAATGGCTGGCACTGACCCAGAAACAAGTACTCCTTCCTCCTTCAGTACCTTTGCCTGCTTGTTCCTTCTATCAATACCCTTCTTTTACCCTGGCACAAATGCAGTAACACAGCAAACCTGATTAGGGAACTGATGAAAGTTAAAACTAATTTTGTTTTGTTTTTCTCTGTTAGTTTAACTGGATCAGTTCCTGAATCTGATCCAACGTATGGTCACAAATACACCGGCATGAGTCAGAGGCATTAAAGGAAAGTAAACCAGTATAAATTCATAGTGGAGCTGCGATCTAAGGCAACGATTCAACAGTACAGAAAATCCAGCCCTGATCATTTTAGCACCAGACCAAAAATGACAGAAAGTGTTGATTGCCATAAACTTAGCCTATTGATTCAAGCTTTGACAGAAAAAGCTGATGAGTTAAGTTCGTATCAGCAGGGTTTATGCTAAATTAGGTACTGTCCTGTATTATGGAGCCAGACGAAAGCCAGCATTAACTTCAAATTTTGTGCTTCGGTTAGCTCAACAGAAGTGTGTGGATACCAAAGCACAGCAACTATTGCTTAATCCCAAACACAAAACCATCAATCAAATAGATGCAATCACTGGATGACCAAAAAGGATTTCTGTTCAAAATATATCCTAAAATAGTATCTATTCACCATGTCTGATTATGACCATAATGTCTTGCAATTAAAAGGGGGGGGGAAGGCAGCTAAATAAAAATGCTTAGACCTTAAGAAAGAAAACCCAGAACCTATCACTTTGTCTTTTACAGAACTTAATTAGTAAATTTAATACTCATGCTGCAGAAATAGGTGATCTGTAATATAATAATAGAGATAATATTGGCAAACAACACATTAAGTAGAGAGGCAGACAGTCATTACTCATAAGAGCAGGCCCATTCATCTAAATAACTAAACATACAAGGATTTTTATTCATTTAAGATTTACAGAACAAAGTCCTAAAATATGCCAGTTCCATTTCCGTTTGATTCACACTAGTGCAAGTGGAAGTAGATCTGGACTCAAAAAGTAGACACAGGACATTCTTCAGATGTATTTAAATTTTCACGAATCAGGCAAATACCACAATGAAAGGAATAAATAGCTTTTGATCATTTCTGTCTTTAAAAACAGATAAAAGAACTTCTACTTAATAGGTGAAGTAGAGCATTTCTGTAATTAAAGGAGTATAGAAATGAGCAAATTCTTCAGATAGAGAGAACTGTAACATTTGGAGCATCTGTCTCAAAATCCTGCACACACTTGACTGGAAAAGCAGAATACTGGGACAAGTTTGTTTTGTTTTGTTTAACTCAGAAGCCAAGGACAACATAAGTAGGACCATTTGTGTTTCTCAGTTCTCCCTCAAAATAAGTTCAAGCCTAAAAAGACCACCTAAAGGTGAGAAACGATTCATCATTCATGCTAGCTCCATTTCCCACCTCTCTCAAGCAGAAAATCCCACTGTTTTAAGCTATGTGAGATGTGACCACTAAATTAATTTAATCTGAGTCAAATGTCTTGGATTGAACTGCAGCCCAGCACCTGAGAAAGCAGTGATTTATCTATTAGACCACACCTAACTTTGACCCACTTGGTTTCAATATATTTTTAGCTCAGTATTTTAACAATTTTTCTGAAAATAAACCAAATCTGTGCTAGGAGAGCAGGGAATCACTAAGAAATAGCAGTCTTCACTTTTAGCCTACAGGTGGATTATAATAAAATGTCCTCATAATGAATGCCTTCAAGTCTTCAATATCCAGCTGATTAAGTTCATATTTCAAAATTAAAATTCGTCCTTTTGAAAATCCATATAATACATCTGTATGCTAAAGTAGAACTTTGTGTCTTGCGGCTCCCTAAGGACCTCGGGAACTTACGTAAAATTTTAAATAAATACTTCTGACTAATCCTAGAGAAAGTATTTTCTTTGGAAAATGAAACCTCTCTCATCCTTTAAAATGGTCCCAGCCCACTACTAGTCTTTCTTTGGGTGATGACATTTACAAATCTACTGAAATATCTTCTCTGCAGCATCATTAGTGATTGATGCCTGAGCCTACTTCGATTCATTATTCAGCCAAGATTACCTCCATTGCAAAGACATACTAGCCACATGCTGATGGAAATATCATCTGAGATAACAATTATAACCACATGACTTTTAAGCTCAGAGGTGGTACAGAACTCTCTACCTGACCAAGCAAAAATCCAGCATGCTGAAATTAGCGATCCATAAATCAACACTTCAGCTAAAACACATCAAAAAATTTTTTTCACCAGATATTCAAAATGGTACAGGGTGCTATTTCTAGAAACTTCCCTTGCTATCAGTAAGATTACTTTTATATATTTAGCACATTTCTAAAACAGAAAAAACCTATCAGTAATTACTTCTATATATTTAGCACATTTCTAAAACAGAAAAAACTATTGTCAGTGAAAAACTTTTGGTGCCAAATAAATGTATATTTTATATATCCATATATCATCCCAACAAACAGAAACATATCACCTCTGGAGAGCTGAATTTTGAAGGCTCCTGCACCACCACATGGCAAAGAACAAATTTATGTTGTTGAATTTTGTTGATTTTTTCTATATTCTGCCATCTTACCAGGGGCAAAACTCCTACAAGCAGATCTTTCACCAAAGTAAATTGTCAAGGCTAGGATACTAAGGCAATATTTGCCAGGCAAGATTCTGACCCTGTCATGTCGGACTGACAGGAACTTACTGAAATCACAGTGAAATGAATGAAGTTTGTAGGAATTGACTCGTAACAAAATTTAATGTGGCATAACAACAGCCCATGTTCAAAAGAATGCCTAACAGGCAACGGAGAGGAGAAAGGCAGTGGCAGGTGCTCCACCTACCCATCTACCTTTTGGCTGTCAGTCTACCCTCATTTCTGTGCCTTCATTGTGTCCAGACTTTTTCCTTGGAGAATGGCAACTGCAAAGGAGCTCGTAAGTGCTCATGGTAGCAGTAACCAGGCTTACACTGCAGTTGCAACCGGTCACCAAAGCATATACACCACTGGGTCTCAGTCATTCAAGACAGCAAAACATTTTCAGCTTAAAATAGCTTTGTATTCAAAATGGCTTTTTAGAATAAGAATTTTCACAATGTTCACATTTCAGGGGAAAAGAAAAAATTAAAAAATCAAAAAATTAACTAAATAAATGTGATAAGAATAGCAGCACAGCTCAGTTTTTGTGGCAGGATTTTCACTGAAAAAAGAAAAAGCTTTCTGCTACTATAGTTTTTGTATGCAGTCGAAAGCTTTGTTTCAGACCTTTTTACTAGAAAGTAGTTTCAAAATTAAAAAAAAAAGTGGAAATGTCATTATCTCTATCGACTGTACTTCAAACTCTGTTTCATACTATTGAAAGGAAAAAGAGTCTGCTTGTGAATATAAAATATTCTTGTTCTTTATATCATCATCTTGCAGTGATTTTGGCAATACAGAAAAATACCAATCATATATATGATATATATTATATAAATGAAATATGATATTTTATCATATAATATCATAAAAATACCAACCAAAAATACCAAAATACCAATCCCCTAAAAGCTGAAATACCCCAACTATTGTCCAACGTGACCTTATCTGTATTTTGACCAGTATGGCTGGGGGGTTTACGTTTGTGTTTGTTTCCCTGATACAGACATCTACTGTTCTAAATCAATTCCTGTCTCCAATTTTTCCTCTCTCAATTAACACATCATGTGCACCTCAACTCCCATGCCAGTGACCCACAGATGAACTGCAGCGTGCCAGCAAAACTCTTTCCCTGTTCGCTTTATTTATTTTTTAACATGCCATAGCCACAAAAATAATTTTTCACCTGCCCAAATCCTTACAAACGGACTCGATAAACTACCTACAAATCAGATATGTAGGTATCTTATGTATACCACTTATAAAAGCTTTGTCAGATCTCTTCACAAAACATGTATTCTTTTTTTTTTTTTTTTTTTTAAAGAAAAAACATATTCCCTCCATTATTGTACTTGGGTATAGCTAAATAATACAGCAGAATTACTGACAACACTTGAAGCAATTCCAAGAGCAGTTTAATAAACAAGGCAGGCTAAAAGCTGCAAGCTTAGAAATGGTTTCCATACATTACTGAACAAAATGTACTGGAAGTGAAATCTCCATACATAGTAAGAACTAAATGTTTTTTTCTATAATAGTAGCTCTTATATAAAGATGTTTCCTTTGTGACAGCAATCCCCAGCCTAAAGGAAAAGAACATTATGCAATATCTCTTGCGGCATGTAAGAACCTCCGTTTGCGGTCTCAGAGTTTGTCAGCACCAAGGGAAATCTTTATTGCCTGGTACCTGCACCACTTCAATGTAGTTCTTGTTTAAATAATGAGAAAAAATCGTGACATGAAATCCAAGGGAAACTTTACATCTTGTGTAACAACTCCTCCTGTCACCACTACAACATCAAACTTTACTTAACTCTGTTTCAGCATGAATGTTAGGAAGGAATGTCGACTGAGTAGAGCAGGCGATGTTACAGTAAAATCATTCGTATATAAAAAGTCGGGGTTTTTTTCTTTGAGTATAAAAAAGCTGTTTGTAGCA